AACATCTCATCTGACATCAGGAATAATGAGAATTTTCAAAAAAAAAAGGCCAGATCTGAGGACAAGTACAATCAAAGAAAAGGCATTCAATGTTATGAATGTGAAGGTTTTGGTCATATTAAACCAAAATGTCCAAACTTTCTCAAAAGGAAGAAAAGGGGTTTTATTGTGTCTTGTCTGATGATGATAAGTCAGAAGATGAGGCTAACAATGAGACTGTCAAACTTGTAACAGATCTTTCTGAGAGATGGGCAAATAAAGTGGAAGCCTATGATGAAAGTATCCTCTATGAAGATCTTGACATATGTTATAAGGATGCGTGTGATAGGTGTGAAAAAAGTCTTAAGACAGTAGAGGAACAGAGAAAGATCCTAGCCGAATTGGAGAATGAAAAGAAGAAGATGCTATGTTCTGATTCACATCTTCAAAGTGAGGTAACTCTCTTAAATTCCAAGCTTAATAACATGTCAGATTCCTTGAAGAATATGGAAAGTAGAGTTGATATGGTTAGAGAGGATGGGGATACAAAAGTGGATTATCTATCCAATAACAAACAAAGAAAAGTATATGAAGAGGATTTCTTGTCCCCTGAAAGGAAGAGAATGATCAACATGTCCAATCATATGTTACAACATTCTAGTAAACATGATAAAACATTATCTAGATTCCAATTATCAACGTGGATATGTTATTATTATGGTGAACATGGCCATATTAAGCCTTTATGTTATAAACTATATGGAGATAAAAAAATCTACAGTTCATTATAAGGATGATCAAGTGAGAAAAAAGAGAAGTGTTGAAAATAGAGATAATACCTTTATTGTTCATATTTCCTTAAGAGACTCAAATGGAAAAGATTGGTACTCTGACAATGGATGCTAAAGACACATGACAAGGGTTTAGAAGTTATTGGTGAACATTAGGCCTCATCCCACATGATCTATAAGATTTAGTGATAGGTTTAAAGCTGAAATTAAAGGAGTTGGAAAGTTGATGTGTATTGGTTCTCCTAGTTTAGAAGATGTTCTTTATGTGAAAGGATTAACTGCAAATTTCATTAGCATTATTCAATTATGTGACCAAGGTCTGCTAATCTACTTCTCAAAGTTGGAATGTCTGGTCAAAGATAACAGTGATGTTATCTTGATAAAGGTCATTAGATCTAAATATAACTGTTATATATGGTAATCTCAGATAACTGCTTAGTCATCCACATACCTGATAGATCATGAAAAAGAAGTTAAGTTGTGGCGCCAAAAGTTTGAACATCTTAATATAAAAGGAATGATGAAGATTTTAGCTAAATAAGCTATCAGATGAATGCCAGAGCTCAAGTTTGGAAAAGGTAAAGTTTGTGTTGAGTGTGAAATTAGAAAGCAAACCATGATGTCACACCCAATGTTGCAACATAATACTACTTCCAAAGTGCTGGAACTTCTTCATATGGACTTAATGGGGCCAATGCAGATAGAAAGCTTGGGAGGGAAAATGTATGTCTATGTGGTTATAGATGACTTTTCTGGATACATTTGGATGCATTTTCTTAGAGAAAAATCACATGCTTTTGAAGTATTCAAAAATATGTGTCAAAGCATTTAAGAGGAGAAAAATAGTTTGATTGTCAAAATCAGAAGTGAACATGACATGGAGTTTGAGAATGCAGAATTCTCTGAATTTTGTGATTCTGAAGGTATCAGTCATGAGTTTTCTCACTGCATCACTTCTCTACAAAATGGAATGGTTGAGCAAAAGACTAGGGCTATACAGGAATCAACTAAAGTTATGCTTTCTACCAAGCAATTGCCATTAGAGTTTTGGGCTGAAGTTATGAGTACTGCTTGCTACATTCATAATAGGGTCACTTTGAGAGAATACACTTCAACTACTCTCCATGTGATATGGACTGGAAGAAAGCCTATAGTCAAGAATTTTCATACCTTTGCAATTAAATACTATGCTTAGTGAACAAAGATAAAAAAGGTAAGGAAAATATCATAACGAATGAAGGGATATTTCTGGGTTACTCTTCAAACAGAAGAGCTTATAGAGTTTTTAACTCTATAACTAAAGAAGTTATGAAATCCATAAGTGTGATAATTAATTCAGTCACTTAAAGGGAGAAGGATGTCGAAGACAATGTTGGAACATCTTTTGTGCAAACTGAGGAGATAGGAAATGAAGTAATCTGGGAGTTCACAAGTATTGATCCAGATAAATTTGAAGTTAGAGTTCAGACAGATCATCTCAAGGAGAACAATACAACACAATCTAATGAAGCAGACATTTCAAATTCATGTCTTATTTCTAAGCTTGAACCAAGGTCGTGTTCTACTTTTCAAGAAAAAAGAATCTTGAATAATATCATTGGCTCAAAGTGGATCAATAGGTATTTGTATCTAAGAGACAATCTGATTTCTTATGGAAATATCACTATTTTTTAGTATGGTGGAACAAGGAGAGATTGTTCTCAACTGGTATAGATAAACTAGACGTTGAAATATCATAACGTCAAACATGATGTCATGACATTATTTGGTGAAGATCTGAATGATATCAGATATCTCATTCAACATAACTAGAATAAGAATCTTGATAATCACAATCAACTTATCAAGAATCTTGCTGAAGGAAATGTTGCTACTCTGGAATATATGGAAAAAAAGAAACAACTTGCTATTATGTTAAAAGACCAGTTTGAAAATATAAGCAGTGAGATTGGAACTTGCATTATTGAAGAGCTATAGCAATTACAATTATGGAGGAGTGCAACTGATACTACATCTTTCCTCTATGTTCTAATACTTAAGAAGCCTAAGCAAGTTATTATTAAAATGTTTCTACAAGATGGAAGGGCTGGTGACAACACCAAGAAGTGCATGAGGATCTTTGACATGGGCAAGAGGTGGAAGACCACCTAAGGTTGTTGAAGTATGTGTGTTTCCATCAGTTATTATGTGTTTCTAATTTATGCTTCCATATGTATTTATTGCTTGTGTGCAATGTGTGTGCTTCCATTTTGTTTACATTTACTATATTTTTGTCAAATTTTGGCTAAAAAGAGAGAGTAAAGTGTTAATGTATTTTGTGTGTCCCGATGTTATTAAACATGTCTTGACATGTTAAGTAACATGCTGATATGACTGTATTACTGTTAAGGAGAAACTAGTGATTGTGGTTGCTTGTTGGATGCAACTATTGAGGAGGAGCATGATAGTCTATCCCCTATTTATATTCACCTATCCCCTATTTATAATATTGATATAAATCAATTACTCTCTTATTGATATAAATCAATTACTCTCTCCATATAGATCCTTCTAAAGTATAATGACCACATCAATATGTATCCTTCTCATAAACTTCTTACAAGTATATTTAGATCATTACACAAATTCATGAATCATTCTCTAATTCAATGTAAATAACTAAACCTACAATTCCAAATTATACAAGTCAACCTTTGTTTTATCTCTTTTATTGCATTGTAATTAATTTATTGATACTATAGAAATATTTATGCATTTCTGGTCAAATAAATTGGGTTATCTTACATTAAAAATCGATTAATTGACTATTAAATCAACAAAACCTTCTAAAAAATTCAATTTGAACCAAATCCTCATTGCATAAATATGAATATTATCCGTAGGGATGTCAATGGGGCGGGGCGGGGCCGGGGGGACACTTCCCCATCTTTTTCCCCGCCATCAAATTCATTCCCCGTCCCCGTCCCCGATCTCCGTCACGGGGGAATTTCTATCCCCATCCCCGTTCCCCGCGGATCCCCGTTCCCCGCGGGGATCCCCATAGATCCTACATTTATTCATTAATATTTTATTTTTTTAAAATGTTTATATTTTCTATAAAAATAAAAAGCACAAAGAATTCACATATTTATTATGTTATTAAAAAATACTAGTATTTGACATTTATTATTTTTTATTAAAAATACTAATGGAACACAAAATAATAATATTTTTTTTATAAATTTCTATAAAATGCTATAAAATTCAACAAAATGAACTATAATACTTTTTAAAGTAACAATATGCCTAAACAACTAAAAAAATCCAACAACATAATTATGCTTAAAAAACTATACTTCATCAAAACTAATAAGGGATAATTATAAAATTTAGCATCATGAGTATGCTTGAAAAGCTAAAAATATATATATTAAATTAACTATATTAAAATAATAGGCGGGGCGGGGTCCCCGCGGGACGGGGGGTGTATTCCCCGTCCCCGTCCCCGAAATGCTCTCGGGGGAATTTTTCTCCCCATCCCCGCCCCCAAGGGGGAAAATTCCCCATCTTTGGGGCCACAAACGGGGCGTTCCCCGCGGAGATCCGCATTAACAGGTCCAAACTGACATCCCTAATTATCCGAGATAATCCAATACATTTTTTTAAAGATAATCCAATACATTTTTTTTATCCATTTCAAGTGAAGTAAAATTTAGGAATGAAAAACTGAATTTTAAAATGAAGAAATTAAAAATTTAAAAAATATTAAATTAGGGACAAAAAAACACATTTAAGAAAAAAAATAAAAAACCAATCTGGTCCCACCACCATGGTCTACTGATCCGACGGTCTTGGTTCGATCCCACAATCACCATTTTCCTGCGCACAAAACACTACTTCCAATCTCGTTTAAAAAAACAAAACAACCACTTCCAAACTCGGTGCTCCACCGTTCCCACCACGACGCAGAATCACCGCGCCCTCTCTACTCCGTCACAACCCCCACCACACCTCTCATTTCAATTCCACCTCCTGAATCTCAAACCCCTTTCTATTCCATTACCCTAAGAAGCTTTTATTCTTCTTCAAATTCGCAGAAACTAAATTAGGGTTAGGGTTAGGACAACACTTCAATACCGCTTGGTCTGCTTCAAATCGTTTCTGTTCATGCCTCGTTTTCGAGTTGGTATCATATCGTAGTAGCTGCAGAAATTTCCGCTTAATTGACAATTTAGGGTTTGTGCTGTTGATATGTCTAATTCTTCGAGGGGCCGAGTTACCATTACTCTTGGACGCAGCGGTCAGGTATATTCAATATCAAATTTCCCTCCCTTGAGTTTTTATTTGTCCTGTTGTTAAAGGAACTTCTTTTACGGTTTCTGCTACTTAGATTTTGTTAAAACTTTATTTTGCTAGTGTTTTTCTTAGTTTTTGTTTGTCGACATTAAGTTCTTGTATTGTTTGTTGGGAATGAAGGAACATAATATAATGTTCAATTTTAACCACTATTAGTGCTTACGATTTTGGGCATGGAAATGTAGTTTTAGTTTTATATATGGTTAAAGGGGTTCATGTGAATGACATGCTATTGTGCTCTTGAGTTTAGGTTGTGAAGAGGGATGTATCTGCGGCAGATGTTGCTTACTCTTCTTCTATGTCTTCAGCTGGGAGTAAGCGGTCTGTGAGAGACAGAATTGGAAATAATGCAGATAGTTCCATGTGGCATGGGAATGGGCTCGGCGGCAATAAAAGGTGTGTTTGTGTCTGTGGTTTCTACAGTATTTTTAGATGCTATGGTATTGGTTGTCTGAGCTGGTGCGTTATATGTTTAAACACATTCCCACACATACACACACACACCTTGCCGCGTTCTCTTTTTGCTAAGAAAGTTCACCATGGATAATGTTTTGGGTTATTTAATTATTAGTGCAAGTGGTAGAACAGTTTGCCCGTTTTTTGTATCATGTGATTAAAGATAGATTTCATGAATTATGTTGTTTGGATTCTCTGCAGACAGCGAGGAGATGTAAGCTTGCAAAAGGGACAAGATGGTAGTACTCTCCTTTAGCTGCGACTTTACCGTTCCATATTTATAATATTCAATGGGTTTTCTTAAATAAAAATCTTGTTTCACTTAATTTACTTAGATCGGCGTATTGGAAAAGACGATCTCCGATTGAAACTCATGCAAAAAAGTGCAGGGAAGAGGACTGAAAGTAATGGCAATAAGAGGAATGTTGATCTCCGTGAAAAATTGTCGAAGACCGCTTATCCTCCGACAAACAGTTTTAATTCAAAGCAGCGCATGCCTGAACCAAGGGAAACAAGCTCGTACAGGCTAGTTCCCTCAGCTAGAAGTTCTGAGGATTTAATGCGTATGGAATCCATGAGAAGCTCATACTCTCCTTGGACACTGGATCAAATTCGGCAAAGATCACCCGACGGGTTTCCAAGTTCTTCCAGGGGGATTTCCCCCCAAAGAAATGTTGGAGACCCTCAGAGAAGGCCTTTAAACAGGACATACGATGGAGTCAGACCAGTTTCTTATGCAGGTAGGGATGTTCTTGAAACTTCAAGGCCTCCAAGTGCTGCACCATCATCTTTTATGTCAAGATCCGGAATATCGTCATTGCCTCCAGTAACTGCCAAACCGGTAGCATCTCGTCCTGGCCAGCATCCTCCATCAAGCAGCGTTGCGCAAAGGGTTCCATTTGTGGTGAATTTTACTTATTCTCTTACCTTCACATTCCTTCTCTCAAATTTTATTATTTGTTACTTAAAGAAAGACAATCTATAGATTATATTGTAAGGAGAGTAGATTTGATGGAGAGGAGTCAAACAACTAGATGTAGAGGAAGACCGAGAAAAACTCTTAAGATAACTATTTCGATAGATCTCAAAATTAACGATTTGGATAGAAATATGGTCTCTGATAGAACTTAATGGCGTAATTTGATCCATGCAACTGACCCCACTTAGTGGGATAAAAATTGGTTGTTGTTGTAAAGAAAATTTCCATATGACCATGTGATGGATGTATCAGTTGAATCTGTTATGCCCTTTTGGTTGGCTATATCATATGCTAGGGATTATTTATAATATAATATAACTTAGGTACCAATAATTAGAATCGGTGTTGTCGATGGCGAAGAGCCAAAATCCCGCCATACAGGCCGCTTTGGGGCACTGCTATAGCGGATTATGGCGGAAAAATCTGCAATATCGGCCGATATTTACCATTGCGGCAAGCCCAAAAACTGCCATGTATATCTGCCATAGCGGTCATGGCGCCGCAATTTGATAACATTGATTAGAATAGATTTTGAATAAATACAAAGAATTCTATTCTTTAGCAATGGTGACAGAAAAAAATTATTAATAGTTTTTGGGGGCGTATAAATGGAATTAGCTAATTCATGATATTCTACTTTAGGGACTGTTTTTGGGAGCTAATTTTTATAAACTCTGGATGTTCAATCAGACCATATATTTGAACATGTTACCATGTGTGTGAATCTCTCTACAATATGCATATTGTAATTGCTCACAAGGTCTCCTTTTGGAAATCCTAGTTTCCGATAAATAGGTGATTAGTGAATGAATTAATCATGAGGGGTGTATTGAGAAAATAGATATGGCCTTAATAAAGCTTAGGCAATCTTCACTTCACAATTCACAATAATATTGGATATTCATGAAGGGCCCCCATGTTCCAAAAAAAATTTCAAGCAAAATAATAGAGGTACTCACTTTGAGTTCATGTGGGCCCTGTGGGTACAAACAGGTCTGTCCCCTGAATCTGATCAATAATACAATATTGTTGTTCACTAGTTTATTTATTTGATTATTTGGAAAATTAGGTTTTTCACATTACGTGTGTTGATAATGTTGACCTTTATCTATTACCCTGTGAAATTTCCCATATTTCCTACTATTCAAATATTCTTTTCCTATTTTTTTCTATGTAAATACCCCCTTTCCTAATTTCATGTATATATTTCATGATTCTGTATGATTTGTAATGTAGTATATAATAGAGTAATAGTAGATTAGCTATAGCAATATAGCTTAAGCAATATGTTTAGACTGAATAGCTATTGGTATATAAACTCTGTTATAGCATAGGTGAAATGAAATTGAGATTAATAACTGAATTCTGTTATTAATCTCAATTTCTTTTCACCTCTGCTATAATAGAGTTTATATACCAATAGCTATTCAGTCTAAACATATTAGTTTAGCTGCTTACAATTTCTGCTTAAGCTATATTACTATAGCTAATCTACTATTACTCTATTAGTATATTTGGAAAGATTATATGCTATAGTTAAACAATCAATCCCTATTGTTGACTGTTTATTTCTGTATAAGAATAGTATTAATTCATGTGATTATGCTTAATCGGTAATGCATATCAATGCCAATTCTAGTCCATTCATGTCATTCAAGTTCTTTTTCATCTCAGGTTTACGTCTTTATACAACTTGGTCATGCTTATAGAAAATATGTTTTTTAATTATATTTTAAAATTTGTATTACCATACCATTTCCATAGATTTTTTATAACCCTATACCGTACCGTTACCGTAGATTTTTTATAACCCTGTACCATACCTGTATAGGGTTGACATGAATTAAAAGAGTAGCGCCAAGTTCGAAGAAAAATGACACATGAATTAAAGCGTTGTAGTAGATAAGCTTGCCGTTTTATACTCCATTGATAGATATTGCAACGTGTTCTGCCATAAAGAACAAAAGTTACTTCCTTTGATGATTGTACCTTTAGCATTCTTAGATGTGTTGATGCTGGTATTAAAATTGCTTGATTTGTGTGTTCTACTACTGTGGCCTGACTTCCCAATTAAACAATTGGAGCAACTTTGTCCGAGTTACTATTTAGATTATGGACATTAATAGTCTGAACTACTGTGGTGGAAGTTTATGCAAATTGCTTTTATAATTAAATTACTATCAGTCTCTATGACTTGATCTTGGAAACTCGTGTTTAGATGAGGATGAGTTTCAGTTATGTTAAATTTTCTAAACATGTGGCTTTTCTGGTCAACCTTCAGGGTGAAGAACAGCAACCACAAACTGTCGATGGCCTGTTGCAAGCACTGGGACTACAAAAATATGTCATACTCTTCAAGGCCGAGGAAGTATGTCACTCTTTTACTTATGTAATTAAGAAGTTATATTATACTAGTTTTTTTCACATCCATTTGAGTATTGTGTCATATGCTTGATGAAATGTCAAAAATCATTTACTCATTAGCTGGCTATAGCCTTTAGGAATTCTTCCATGGGAAATGATTGGAGAGGATAATTTATAAATCAAGGGAACCTTTTATTGTTTGATCTTCCATGATAGTTTTAAGCAATATTTTGCGATGTGACTTATTTCATGCTTTGTACTTCAGATAGTTCGGTTTATTTTCGTATTGAACAGATGAACCGTCTAAAGTTCCTGTGATGAACTAGTTCCTGTTCAAAATTCCACCTAAAGTACTAACAATGGTTGCAAAACAAGTTTTTTTTTTTGTTTCTTTCGTTGAAAAGAGAAATACTTTTGATTGGTTTTTGTTTCTACGGATTCCACGATTTATTTTGTGAAACTGAATCTACTAAGATTACTGATACTCAATGCGGGGGAGCCTTTTCCATATAGGCAGGTTAATATCCTATAGTTTTGATTTTTACTTTAATTGGTACTTATGATTTTTCAACGTTGAGGTTGGACCGTGATTTCCTTCAAGTTTTACATATAATTGATTCTCATTATTGTCACTCTTTTTCTATAAACTAATCACTAATCTGATCAAAATTTTCAAATGTATGGATGCGACAAATAATATGAGCTGAATGGTTAGAATCAATTGTTCTCAATTTCTTGTATAAGCCAAGTGTTCTCACTAGACTGTTGAATGCTTAAGCTCTAGTGATCATATATTATGTTATGACATTAATAAATATCGTCTTCATATATGAATAAATTATATACTAAAAAATGATGTATGGTTTTTTTTTTGTTTAGTATTATTCCTGCTGTGAGTATATCTAATTTGGCACTACCAGTATTCTTATACACTGGTAAGTCCTTGCAGGTGGATATGACAGCACTGAAGCAGATGGGAGAAAATGACCTTAAAGAGCTTGGAATTCCTATGGTAATTATCATTATTTAAATTCGTGGCTTATATTTTGAAATCTAAAGCTCAGCAAATATATGAATTAAGGCATTCTTATTCTTATATATTATACATATCTGGGACAACCTAGCACGAGTTAAGGGCGATTGCTTTTGGAGGATCTCTTGTTAAGTATTGCTAACTTGTTTTTGCATCCATCATGTTAGTACTAGCTGCCTTGTTCAATGCCCATCCAATTCCATAAGAACTAGAATCTTTATTACAAGATTTAGGGAAGCGTTCCCTTTAAAACAGTATAGATTGCAGAACCTTCTCTTCCCATCCCACTGCTAGAAATTTAGATGACAGCTCTTAATTTACCCAAACCCTCTCTTCCCCAGCCGCCATTCGGAAAGTCTGGTTCTGATGGTGTAGGTCATGATGGATTATCATCTTCTGGGCCGTCTGTTTGGTGTATGCTCAACAATGTGTTAATGCTGGGAAAAGTCCCAAGAGCATGACCATTTACTTTTGCTGGGTGATCTTTGTACAAGGCTTGTTATTAGCCAAAGAATGAGATACACAACATTTCCTTAAAGCCCGCTGTTTTTCTTCATTAAGTTGGGTTTGACCATTCAATCCTCAAATTTATTTTTTCTTTCAGCATCTATGACTTCCCTCAAAGACCCATCTCACCCTTTCCTTTATCTCTTCCTTTTTATACTTCTGGTTGCAATTATCCGCTTTGCTTCAATATTTTCTGTTTTTCTCCCCGTGTTATCTGCATAAATTTAAGAGATACTCAAGGAGCTTGCACAAATACCAATGTTTGGTTGCTCTGGCAGGGAAAAGGTCAGCCGTCCTGTCAAAGACTCGTAGTTTAATCACTGTTATGGGGACCCCTCCCACAGCATGAACGTATTCCTCCGTCTCAACTGTCCTTGTTTTCCAGAAAAGTCTTTGCAAATTCCTTTCAATGTTTTATCTACTTTCTGTTTGTTTCAGCCTTAAATTTTTGCATTCCGAATCTTATGAAAGTTGATAGTCAAGGTGTTTTGATTTTTAATTCTTTTGTTGTTTTCACTTTTATACGATTTGTGTTTGAACAAAAAAAATGTGGGTTTTCATATGCATGTGTTCAGTACTCCTTGTTTTTATGATATTATCTAACTTATGGAGGCTGCTTGGGTTGCAGGGTCCAAGGAAAAAACTTCTTCTTGCACTCTTGCCTCGTAAACGACAGCAGTGTTGATTTTCTTCTTCGCTGGATGCTAAAATTGACACATTGTTGTATCCCAGAGTTTTATAAAACAATTATTAGGTGATGTGAAATACATATCTGAGAAATTTGACTAGTATGAATGTCTTGTTCAGTGTGGGATTCGGACGTGCCTTGTATTGACTCTCACATTTTTGCATTTGAGAACAAGTATCAGTTGAAGTTTTGTTGGAAGAAAGTATTGGTCTGTAACATATTCTGTCCAAACTTATAACTGTAAGAAATAGGAACCAGAATCAATTTATCCCTAATTGGGACATATTAACGCCTTCTCGGTTTTCACATCATCAAAAGTAGGATTCAAATTGAGATTTAGAAAATATATTTATTTTCTTCCTTGATATACGTTTCAAAACATGTTTGTGCTTTTTTGTCAAATAAAAACATGTGTGCCTTGTTTTTTGTTTAAAAAAACATGTCTGTTTTTTCGGGAAGATTTATGCCCTTGGAAGGATGTTGAGCATTATACTGATCTTAATGTTAGGTGCGAATCTTCAAATGCTTGCTTTTTCTCTACATTGATTCGTCCGTAAGCACCCAATCGGTCATAGATATAGAAAATTGATTATTGTTATTATTTGTAGTGAAAGTCGTATTTTTTGTCTAGAAAATCTTGGTGACACTTTATCAAATGATTTTCATGCGGTTTTTGGAATAATTGTTGTGCTCTTTTCATGTGGTTTGAATAAATTGTTTATTTTATGTATAAACTCTTGAGAAAAAGTTATTTATATTACTTTTCTAAACATGTCAAAATGTTTTCATAATTTTGATTTGTTTAAGCACTGTCTCAAATATATAAGTTGAATTAAGAGAGTTCAAACAAATTTATAATCAGTTTCTCATGGGGTGCTGCTAGGTCACCATGGTCAAAAGTTTCAACTACTTCTAGATATTAAGGAGATTCGGGCATTTACATTATCCACACCCAACACTTTCGTTAGCGAGTCATATCATGTTCAAAAATGTGTTTGGTGATACATCTCTGCAATTATATTAGAATTTATTCGGAGGTTCATCTCTGTAACAATCGTTATTTTAAAACTCAAAGAAGTTTACGGAGATGTATCTTAGGAATGAATTCTGTAACTTTAAACCACAAAGTAGTAATAGCTGGATGCAAAAGGTTGAAGAAAAATATAAATTAGTATCAAAATATGTCATATTACATAGATAATTGTAACATAAATAAGTAACATCAATTTAGTATTATATTTTAGCAGAATATTACAACATCTTCATAATATTTTCCGCCGATCTTACAATTTTCGATCCAGTTAAATCAGAATCAGACATTTTGTTTTGTAACAGTGAAACGCATTTCACACAATTCTTAATTCTTCATCTGTTTTTTAGCTCAAAGTTGTTGAATTGCATCTTTCTTTCATTGTCGATTGAGGGTGAACAGTACTCAAGCTTCACAACTCTTCAATTGTTTGAGTATTATAGGAGATTCTTCATTATAGATTTCAGATCTAAGAGATGTGTACTGTGTGATCTTAAATTTAAGTGAGGGTTTTGCATAGTTGAAGTAGATAAATGAGACATGTCAATATATGCTCATTTTGGCGTGATGTGTGTTTGTGAGCAATATGAAATGAAAGATTCTATATTTATAAAAAATTTAGATCATTATGGACCTTAGAAACCCTATCCCATTTCAGAGGATATTTTGGGTGTCCGTATCTGGAATCGCCCTATTTTTTTTTAAAGTAAGGGTTTCTACGAAGACAACAGGAGATGAAAGATTCCATATTTATATAAATTTTAGATTATTATGAACCCAAGTGTATATCCTATCATGTCTCAGAGAATATTTTGGTATACATATCTGAAATCACTATATTTTTTTCAAAGTAAGGGTTATTACAGAGATGTATATCCGAAATATTCCTTGTTTGGTATTTTTGCAACTAAAATGTGACTAATCCGGATGTACATCTCTAGAAACGCCCCACGTGTTATACAAAACCTATTTTATACAGGGAGAAACTTGGTCATAGGTTGAAAAATAAACTTTTATTAAAATTGCCCTAAATTGTTATCCAATTAATAAATATACATTACATATAAATCGAGGTTTTGTCAACAATACATACAAAAAATGAGTCATCAACTAAATACATAGTTAGATAAAAACTAAAAACATTAAAACATGTGTCATAATCTAAATCTATTTCTATGGGCGGTGCCGCCTTTGAATTTTTCTTATTTGATTCTCTTTCAATCTTGCTTACTTTGGTGAACACTTCCATTCTTTTCAGAAAGTAATCCGATCAAGTTTCACACTCTTATGTGAAATGTGTCTTCCATTCCAGTGATGTCTTTAGTATAAGACACACCAGTTTCAAAATAAACTTGAACAAAATATTGTGTTTTTGAAAGCTATCCAATAACATGATGCGCCCCGATGGATTTTAAGGTGGTGTTTCTGAGAAACTATAACTTGTCATATCAATACACATTCTATCATAAGAACTTTCTATAAGATGTCCACTTTCAAGGAAGGATGTTCATTTTTCAAACGGTGCCAGACCACTAACACAAGGAATAAGACCATTGAGAATTACATCACAATATTCTTTTCTCTCGTATAGCAATGTTAATGATTTTCTATGCACCGTCAACTCTTGTATAAGCTGATGGTGGATAAATGACTGGTTCTCTTCTCCTTTACCGAGCAAATTTGAAATAGCTCGAAAATCACAATTGATGTCACCTTTAACATTTACAATCTGTTCAATGTATTTGGGCATAAAAAGTGACATCTCTTTGATGTGGATGATTCTTGGTAATAGTGTCAGAGAATTTGTTTGATAGTGCGAGCACCTTTGATTTTTTTTTATAGATTTAGGAGTTGGAGAATCTAGAAAATGCGAGTCAACATGTTCAAAGTAAGAAAGAAACCGATTTGTAGAATTGTCACTCTCGACCGATTTGATCTTTTTAGGGGTACCATTGGTTTTAACAAATTTCGAGGGTGGTTTTAAATTGGTGGTTTCAGGATAGGCAATCTTCCTCAACTTCTCTTGGATGTGCAATTTCATGTTGTCCTTAACTTTCATGAATCTCTCTTGGATCACTTCAAACTTGATCACGATTTAGAATGTAAATGGATATCCATGAGACATATAGTATGACATCTATGCCGTTAGATAAACATGATATATGTATCCGCCCCATATCCGTACAGTTATCCGCTAAGCGGGTAATCAACAAATTTTTAGGTACTCGCAGATATTTATAGAAATCCATGGATAACATTGTTTATTTTATTTAAAAAATATATATTTGTAACTTCTTTTAAAGACATAAAGTTATTATCACATAAAATACATACAATTGACTCTCAATTTAACAATAAAATTTCAACTTATTAATTTCCTTCTTTTTCACCAAAATATAATAACATCCAAACATAATATTCATAAATTTCATTTTTAACAAAAACAAATAAAATATATTGTCACTGTGACTTATGGTGGAAAAGTCGACGAAGGAGAAGTAGGAAGGGAGACACTGGTTGGATGAAGGAAAAACGATACTGGTTGGTTGAACGATGCAACTGTTGAAGTGAAGTTTCGAGTATAGAAGAAGTTTAAATATGAAACGGTCAAATAGAATTTGCATGAAACGTGAAAGGTTTCCTTCAAAGAAAACTTCAAAAAAATTAAAAATATAAGAAGAGTATTTTTTTTAGAAGATGAAAAGACAAAGTATAATAAAATAATGATATTTAAATATTTTTTATAAATTTCTTGATGAATACGGATATCCACGGGAACGAGTATTTGTTATACCTTAATTTTTATCCCTAAGATCCCTCATCATTTTGCATCTTTACAATGCATCAATATCACAACCATGGTTTGCTTTTCACCCTTGTTCTCCCTCTTCTTTAAGTTTACTCTTGAAGGATCACCAAGTACCCTAATTGTGTATCTTGTACATACATGTTTATGTTTACTAATCTCTAACTAAAATCCAAAAAGATGTTTTGTTTCCCTTTTGTGTTTTTACATTGTTGGTGTTGAGCCAAGTGCATCTATCTCACCACCTAAGCTAGGGTTTTGATAATTGATCCTTAGTCAATTGATTATTCATTGGACCTCAAGGGCTTGAACCTTAAAGCCATGCTTTTACTATAAAAATGCCATGTCTTGAGTCTATCTCAAATTCATACGGTCAAGTTTATATCAAAGTATTGTGGTTTGATTCATCAAGAAACTTCATAGGTTCATGTGTCTATTTCCATGCCTTCTTCAACAAGTTTCATCAAGCTATGAGCTTCATTATCAAGTGTGCTTAAAGATGACATCATTTCAAGGTCCTATGTGCTTCATCATGCCTTAGATTGCATGCAAAGTTTAAAAGATTCAAATTTGATTCAAGTTGTTTGACCTAATTTGTCAAGTTCTTGATTCTACGGTCACAAGTGCATAACTCTCTCAATTTTCAACATCTTAAAGATTCTTTTTGCTACAAACTCTTCTCATCATCTCCAAAAACTTCTCTTTACATGACAAGAGCCAATTATGCTTGGAGGATCATCAAGAGTTTGGATACATTAGAGGTCACTTTATAGATTTTGACCTAATTTCAAGTGATTTTTGCATGATTTTGATAGCCAAAATACCCCCGCTAAGATCACATTCGAACTCTTAAGCTTGTATTTAATTTTTTGATTTACACCTTTCAAACACTAAAAATCTCCACTCAATTAGCTTCACCAACATTCAGTGAAGCTAACCAGATCAAGAGGAAGAAGAATTAAGCTCTAGTTGAAGCTCACCAAGTTCAGTTTCAGAGCAAAACCATCGCACTTCGTTCAGGTAGTTAGAAGCATCAAATCTCTCAACTCAAATTACTGTGATGATCTTTGATGTACACTGATGCTTATTACATCATTAATTTTCATTAATTGATCTGTTTGATGTGTCTATTTTTGAATTTTGTGTTTGCAAACTCTTCTA